GACTGATGGCTTGATTGGCTTGATCTTCAGAGGACAGACGGACAGACGGCAAGGCTTCCTCAGAACCTCACTGTCCACTCCTCTCCCCATAAAAGGAACCTCGGGGCTGGGTATAGCCCCGGGCGATGTCTTCCTGGCACACAGGAGCCCTGAGTTACATCCCCAGCTCTGGGGGAAAACGTCTATTGTCCCCATTCCCATCCATGATGAGGCCCAGGGAAGGAAGGCCGGGCCACAGTGTGGGGGTGTTGGGCTGCCTCCCCCAAGGGGCTTGACACAAGAGGAATTTGTTCTCACAGTCCTGGAAGCCAGGGCTCAGAATCCAGGTGTCAGCAGGGCCACGCTCCCTCCAGAGCCCCGGGGAAGGGTGCTTCCTGCCTCTTCCAGCTCCTGGGTGCCAGTGGTCTTCTGGCTTGTGAACCCATCACCCCAGCCATCTTCACACAGCTGTCCCCTCTCCCTGGCCTGTCTTCTTTCTCTTGTCGCTGTCGTCATCTCTCAAGACTGAACCGGGCCTCACACATGCCAGGCGAGCACTCTTGCCCCACGGATCCACACCCCAGTCCCCTTCTCTCCTCATAAGGACGCTAGTCCTGCACTTGAGGCCACTTGGATCATCCAGGGTGACCCCACCTCGCAGTTACTTTAGCTACATCTGCAAAGACCCTGTTTCTAAGTCAGGTCACATTCTGAGGCTCTGGGTGGGGACACCCTTCAACCCACCACAGCTGCACAGGCAGAGGCCAAGCTGCACTTGAGCCGATCTGTGGGACACAAGCATTGTCCTCACAGCAGTGGTCAGTGCTGGGCTGACAGCTGTCTGACATGGTCGACAGACAGATGTGATCTTTGATCTCATGGAAATGGACAAAAGAGTCCTGGAGACTAGTTAAAGAAGGTGGCTGTTTGAGATTGTGATGAGCCGTCTGAAGGGGGTAAGATGGGGCATGATTGTATCAGTCACCTATTGCTGTGTAACAAATTGTCCAGAATTAGGGGATGCAGACAGTGATGACTATTTATTATTTCCTATGGCTTCTGTGGGTCAGGAATTCAAATATCACCATTTTCCCCAGTTCTGCCATGTCATGTCTGGAACCTCAACTGGAAGATTCCAAATCCAGGACCAGAATCATTTGATATCTTAGGAGCTCAGAGGTGTTGCTGGAACACCTCTCCTGGTGGCCTGGGCATCTGCACATCATGGTGCTGGGTGACAAGGGCCAGGCAGGCTTCATGCTAAACAGAAGGTGTCCAAATTGTGCCCCAGCTTCAGAAGTCACAGCCTTGCTCCTGCCACATGTTGTTCATGAGAAGTAAATCCCCTCCTCTACCCCAAATCAAGGGAGGAGAGAGCCCACCTTTGGAAGGAAGGACCATCAGAGAATTTGCAGACATATTTTATAACAGCCGCAGTGTACTGTGGTGTATGTTTTAATCCCAGCAATTTGGGAGACTGAGGCAGGAGGTTTGCAAGTTCAAGTCCAGCCTGGGCGACTTAGCAAGACCCTGACTCAAAATGAATAATAGAAAGGGCTGGGGATGTGGCTCAGGTGCAAAGCACTTGTCTAGTGCCCTTGAGGCCCTGCGTTCCACCCCCAGGACCAGAAAAAAAAAAAAAGAAAAACAACCTCAGTCCCAGTGATAGACACATGGTAGGGCCAGGAGGGCCTCTGAGTGAAGGCTCAGAAGGTGGCGCCATGGGGCTGTGGCAGAGGATTCCAGGCACAAACCAAGGCCCTGAGGCAGCCACTGTTTGCTGCTAAGCAGGAGAGGAGCAGGCGGGAGGGGGAGGAAGTGAGGTGAAGGGTGGACAGGTCAGCACCAGGTGCCTTGCAGGCCACTGGGAGGATGTTTGACTGCAAAGCAATGAGGACCCTAGGAGGACCAAAAGAAATGTGAAGACCTTTTATGATTATGGAAAAGTTTAAACTACAGAAATACAGAGAATAAGGTAACATCGAGCCCTTGGGCACGTTCCTCTTACCCCATTTTGTGTTGCTATAACAGAGCGCTGGAGGCTGGGTAATGTATAAATAGTAGAAGTTGACTGCTCACCGCTCTGGAGGCTGGAAGTCCAAGATCCAGAGGTGCAACTGGCGGGGCCTTTGCTGAATTACTCTGGGTGAAAGCCAAAGGGCAAGAAAGCAGCCCAGAGGGTGTGGTGTGGGCAGGCAGCAGGGACAAACTGCTTTTTTGGGGGGTGGGGCTGGAACCCAGGGCCTCTTGGGTGCTAGGCAAGTGCTCTTCCCCAAGCCACATCCCTAGCCCTTTTATTGTTTTATTTTGAGACAGGGTCTCACTAAGTTGCCAGAGCTGACCTCCAACTTTCCATCCTCCTGCCCCAGCCTCCCGAGTTGCTGGGATGACAGGCGTGCGCCACTGTGCCTGGCCCAAACCTGTCCTTTCATAGTGACATTAATCCATTCACAAGGACAGAAACCTCATGACCTAGCCCTTCTGAAAGGTCCCACCTCTCAACACTGTGGCACTGGGGATGGAGTCAGGGGGGTGGGGTGTTTGACTGCAAAGCAGTGAGGACCCTAGGAGGACCAAAAGAAACACCACACCTGGGACAGCAGCAGGACAGTCACCCAGAGGCCGTCTCTGGCCCCACTGCAGAGTGGCCTCGCCCTGAGACCCTGTTGCATGAGAGGGTCCCTGGCCTCGCCAGCTGGGGCCACCTGACCTGTGATCCCCAGACACACCCCGAGACACCCCTCGGAGACTGTCCTCGGGGAGGACTGTGGCAGCTCACTGTAGCCCAGGGGCAGGGCTTTGGCTCCTTTCCTCCTGAGTCTCCAGGGCCAAGGGTGACACAGGTCCCTGTCCGCCTGGAGAGGGAGGGGCAGGCCCAGGACAGGATGACGAGAGAGTGGAGTTCACCTGGAGGTCCTGGGAGCAAAGCAGGGGCGGGCAGGGAGCCCGGCATGCGGGGTGCAGTACAGAGAGGGGTCCAGGATTGCCCCAGGGAGGGTGACAGTTGAGCTAGGTCTGGGCAGAGAGCCACCAGGATGTCAGGAAAGAGTGCCCCAGGAGGTGGGCCCAGCCTGTGCAAAGGCCCGGATGCAGGAGTGCGCAGGAGCTTGGTGGGGGTGAGGAGTGACAGGGAACAGGGTGGGCCCAGAACATTCCCTGAGCCCTGCCAGTGCCTGAGTCTGGCACATTTGGGGGACCCTGTGCTATGCTGGGGCAGCGGTGGGCATCCTGCTGGGTGAGGCCCCTGGGGTGCCTGGAAGACCCCCTGCGGGAGGGGAGGCTGCTGGGAGGAGCCGAGTGGGGGTGTGTCGTGGTCCAGTTGCAAACACCGGGTTCCCTGCTCCTTTCCAAAGGGCAGCCGGAGGAGCCTTCGGGGGCTTCCAAGGTAAGCGCCGTCCCAAGCTCAGAGTCTCGGGAATCTCCTCTGAACCCCGAGCCCTTGCTTTAAAACGCTGCTGATGCTCGTTGCCGGCACCCCTGCCCCGCCTGTCTTCGTGGCTCCTCTGGGGGTGCCTGGCCCTGCCCATCGTGGACCTGTCCTCCCTGTCTGGCCCTCGTCTGATTCCCCACCACCCTGGCATCCGCTCTGGTCCTCAGAAGCGCCTGCTTCCTCGCCTGTCCCGGCCTCAGGGCCTTTGCACTGGCTGTGTCCCCAGCTGTACTGTCAGGTGCACCCCCCCCCCTCACCAGGCCCTGTGCAGGTGCCACTTGCCTCTCGGGAGCCTCCCCCGCCCCAGTCCTCCTCACTCTGCACTGCCCCTTGTCACCATTGTCCCTGGAGCTTGCTGGTGTAGTGCCTAGTGCCGGTGAGCCTCTGAGGGTGAGACTGGTGGTCTTCGTCCACTGCTCTGACCCCGGAATAGCGCCCGTAGACAGGGAGGGTGGGGAGGAAGGGAAGAACCGTGTCGGGGGAGCCGGGAGCTCCTCCTCCTCTTCTTTTTTCTTAGCGGAAGGACCGTGTCCCCATGGTGCTGGAGGCCGGGAAGCCCCAGGCCCAGCCAGTCGTTTGGTGTCTGGTCCCCTGGCTCACAGAAGCCCCTGTCCCACAGCGCCCTCTGTGGCAGGGCACTGCTGTGCACATGTGGGGTCCAGGGGTGGGCGGGGGCCCTTGCGCAGAGCCGCTGGGCGGGGCGGATGGACTTGGCAGTGATTTTGACAGGACAGGGGCCAGTGGCGTCCGCGCTGGCCCTGGAAGGCAGGCGGGAGGAGGTGCCAGGGCTCTGCTCCCCTGCAGGGCTGCTCAGCCAGGGCCTGGGGCCGGGGCAGGGAACCAGGCGGAGGAGGAGCTGGAACCACCAATTTCCCAAGTTGTAAACTGAGAAATGCCAGGTCTCCTAGTCCTTGAGCTAAAGCAATTCTTGGTAACAGGTAAAAGTTTTCAGAGGTCACTTCTCGCCCAGCTCACGCCTGGCCGAGGGGCAGCCACTCACCCATATGCTGTTTAGGGACTGCTCCTGGCCTCCACTGCCCCCTGTCCACTGGCCTGCCACTCTCCGTTCTGATCCGCGTGCGACTGGAGCTGCGGCGGCACCAGCGTGCTGGCCACACCATCCCGCCCGCCCTGTGCCCCCGCCATCCGTCCTGTCCCTCCCCTAGGAGGTCCCTGACCCTGCCTGGGCAGAACAGCCCCTCCCCGCGCTGGACACAGCAGCCACCTGTGCCTAGTGCCTTGCAGTGACTTGGGGATGGCGCCGGGGCCCCACACAGGGCTGGGCCCTCATTGTGGAGGAAGGATGTGGAGTGGGAGGCAGGGTGCAGGGGTCATGGTCAGGAGCTTGGGACATCTTCAGAGAGAGAAGGGTGGGATTTGGCCCCTCAAGCAGCCGGAGAGAGGAGGACAGGGGGACTCCATTTACACCAGAGTGGCTGGTTGGAAAATGGCCTCTGTCCTTGGTCCCCTGAGACATCCAGCAACCAAATGGTTAAACGCAGCCCCAACTCCCCGGATCCTCAGATGGGGATGCTGAGGCTCTGGGCTGCTCCCTGCCAGTGACACTGTCGTGTCCCCCCTTCCCCCGCAGCGGCCTCTCTGTTCTGATCCGCGTGCGACTGGAGCTGCGGCGGCACCAGCGTGCTGGCCACACCATCCCGTGCATCTTCCAGGCTGTGGTGCGGCGGCAGCCCGAGCGCCTGGCCCTGGTGGACGCCGGCAGTGGCGCCTGCTGGACCTTCGGGCAGCTGGACACCTACTCCAATGCCGTGGCCAACCTCTTCCACCAGTTGGGCTTTGCTCCGGGCGACGTGGTGGCCGTCTTCTTGGAGGGCCGGCCTGAGTTCGTGGGGCTGTGGCTGGGCCTGGCCAAAGCAGGCGTGGTGGCTGCGCTGCTCAATGTCAACCTGCGGCGGGAGCCCCTGGCCTTCTGCCTGGGCACCTCAGGTGCCAAGGCCCTCATCTACGGCGGGGAGATGGCAGCGGGTGAGGCCAGGCGTGGATGTCAGGTGGGCGGGGACCTGGGGCTGCCCCAGGCAGGGAGTCGCTGGGCCCAGGCCTCAGAAGGGGGCCTTCCCGGACTGGGCCCTTAGGTGCGAGGTCGGGCGGCCGCCTGGTGCACAGAGACCGCATCCTGGGCTTTGGGAGGGGGCCTGTCTGGCCGTGGCTGTGACCGTGATGCTCGTCTTGGCCTCAGCGGTGGCCGAGGTGAGCGGGCAGCTTGGGAAGAGCCTTCTCAAGTTTTGCTCTGGAGACTTGGGACCCGAGGGCATCCTGCCTGACACTCACCTCCTGGACCCGATGCTGAAGGAGGCGTCCACCAACCCCCTGGCACAGTCCCCTGGCAAGGGCATGGACGGTGAGTGCAGGAGGGTCCCTGGAAGCCTGCCCTCCCCTGCCCCCTGCCTCCAGTACCCAACGCCCCTCTCCTGCAGATCGGCTCTTCTACATCTACACGTCAGGGACCACGGGGCTACCCAAGGCCGCCATAGTCGTGCACAGCAGGTGAGGGGCCTGTGGCTGTCACACCAGCCCCTGAGAGTGACCCAGCCTGACCCTGCAGCCCAGCATGCCCCCTGGGTCTGTGGACAGACACCCCCAATTAAATGAAACCCATGGCCATCTCAGGACACTGCTACCTTGTGTCCATTGTCCTGGGACCCCACTAGTCCCCCTACCTCTTCCCCATATCCCGCCTGTCCATTTACCTGTTCCTCAATTCGTACACTTTTCTCAGTGCTCTGCCCAGCTCTGCTGGACCTGCCCCTACTCAGCCTCCTGCTCCCCCGACTGCTGCCCCCTCCCCAGTTTTGCTCCCCTCAGTGGCTGCAGGAGGGTTAAAACCGTAAATCAGACTGTCCCTGCACCTGGCCTCCCCTCACTGCCTTGGGATAAACCCCACTCTCTGGTTCTGCCAGCCCTGGCACTTCCTAGGTATTGTCTGCCGCCTCTTCATCCCTCACTCCTTCCTCTTTGGCCCCCAGCTCTTCCAGGTGCAGGGCCTTTGCACATGCTGTGTGCTCTGTCTGGACAGCTTCCCTAGTTCATCCCCATAGCCCTGGCCCACTGGATCTGGGGTCAGGCCAGCACCTCCCCAGACAGTATCCCTCAGTCTCCCCAGGGTCACCCTCAACCCCCAACCCCAGATCCCTAGACTGTCAGTTATTTGCCGCTGGTTCCTCTCCAGCTAGCCTGAGCTGGTAGCTCTGGCCGGCGTCCAGCATGCTTGGCCACCCCCAGTCCCTGGGGACTGAGGGCCCAGCCCCTGCCCTCCCGACCGTCCCTGTAGGTATTACCGCATCGCAGCCTTCGGCCACCACTCCTACAGCATGCGGGCGGCTGACGTGCTGTACGACTGCCTGCCGCTGTACCACTCTGCAGGTACCGCGGGGCAGCGCGGCTGGGACAGGCCTTGGGGGTGGGGGCGGGCAAGCCCTCACCGGGCCCACCCTCTGCAGGGAACATCATGGGCGTGGGGCAGTGCCTCATCTATGGGTTGACGGTTGTCCTCCGCAAGAAATTCTCAGCCAGCCGCTTCTGGGACGACTGCGTCAAGTACAATTGCACGGTCAGGCCCCGCCCCTTCCTGTAAAGCCCCGCCCCCTGCCTCCCAGAGCTGGGAACTGCGCCCCATCTCTCTCCCTGCGGGGGTGGGGTGGGGTGGGGGTGGTCCAGGAAGAGGAGGGGAAGGCAGCCAGTGTCTCTGAGCTCGTCCAGCCCCTGGCCAGAAGGCCTCTGCGCGTTGGGACCCTCTAACTGCTTGGAGGCAGGCAGAGGCGTCGCCCCCTTCTGCACGTGGAGGAAACAGGCTTGGGATGCAGCTGGATGGGACTGGGGGGCTGCTCCCCAAGGCGCCCTACGGTGCCTGGGCTTCCCGGGTCTTCCCTGCGGGGAATGAGGCGGTGGGCGGAGCGGGCGCAGGGCTGGGGGCCAGGGGGCTTAGCAGAGGGCAGAGGTGGAGGCGTCTGCTGTCCCCCAGGGTAGCTGGAGGGCCTGGGGGTGGACCTGCGGTGCAGCCGGGTCACACCGCTGGGCACGGCTCTGGGCGGGGCATCCTGGAGAAGAGTCCCCTCCTAGGCCCCCCTAGAGAGCGCTAGGAGGACCCGCTGGGAGGGTGGCCTTGGGGACCTGCTGGCCAGCTTTAGGGAATGCAGAGCAGACGGCTACGAGAGTCCCAACGTGCTTGAATATGAACAGGAAAGCCGAGGGTCTGTGGGCACCCTGTAACCCTGCCCCAGAGGCTGGGGGAGCCCAGTGCTGCCCCTTGGCCCTCGGCCACACCCGGTGTTGTCCTAGCGGCCAGGATCCTGTGAGGACGTCTCAGTAAAGCCTCCGAAGGATGAGGACTTTGTAAGATTTTTGAGGTGGAACTCATAAGATTTGCCGATTTGAAGTGACCAGTTGGTTGGCCGGATGTGGGCGCAGTGGCCAGGCCTTCCCGGGGCTCTGCAGCATCACCGCCGTCTAGTTCCAGAACGTTTGTCTTCCAAAAGGAGCCGCCCATTAGCAGCCCCTCCCCGCCCTGGGCAGCCACCCGTCCTGCCTCCCGCCTCTTGGATTTGAGCAGCAGACCTTCCATGGAGGGGGAGGGTCCGGGGGAGGTGTCCCCCTGTGGCCTTTTGTGTCTGATGGAGAAGACTGTTTTTGCAGCGTTGGGTGGAACCGGAGATGCTGGGCAAGGGCTCTACGCTGAGCGGGCCCAGTGTAAGGACTCCTTAAGACATAACCTCAGCACCCATGGGCACAACCACAGAGTGACAATGATTTCTCAGTGTCATCAGGAATCTGGGCAGTGGCCCAACCCCAATCCCCAACTCACCAGTCAAAAGTGGGTTTTTTCTTTGTTTCTATATTTAAAAGAATTAGTATCCAAACAGCCTGCCCCGGACTAGCTGGTGAAGGACCCTTCAGCTGGACCACCCCTGCCCCCGCCCAGGACATTCTCTCCTTGTCATTTATGTACTGAGCTTTATGCTTTCCTTCTCTAGACATTGCTGGAGCGTCCTCTAGCATGGTCCTTTGTCACAGCGTTTTACATACACTGGGAATTGGGTGCAGCACTTTGGCATTTAGCCAGGTGCTGTTGACCTTCAGGGCTGGGTCATTTTTTGAGGTGGGGGCTGTCTTGTGCCCCCTAGGATACCTAGCAGCGTCCTTGGCCTGGGACCACAAGGTGCCAGGGGTGACCCCCTTGACCACAGTGTCCCTGGGGAGTGGCCTCGCACCTGGCTGAGAACCTCCAGCTTCTACACCTGACCAGCTCCAAGTTCAACTCTGGCAGGTTCCCGTGGGCAGGCCGTGTCCTCTCGCTGGCAGCCCCACGCAGCCTCTGATGGGCTCTGCCTTTGTCCTTGCCATTTTGCTGAGCCACTGTGCGCCGTCCCCCAGCCCTTCAAAGCCCGTCTGTCAGTTTCCGAGAAGCAGAACTTTTGTGTCAAAGAAAAGGTCTGTGGCGAACACTGAGGGCTCTATAGGGCACAGGGGACAGGATCTTGGAAGGTCAAGAATACCCAGAGAACAAGAGCATGCATTCAGGCCCAGAAATCCGCCTCTGGCTGGAGCGTGTGTCTGCAGCCATGTCCACAGGCCCTGCACAGTGGCCTGGGAGGCCCAGAGGGAGGCCAAAGGCGGTCATCTAGAACCGGCTCTCCTTAGCTCCACAGAAGAGGAAGCTGTGACCCAACATACCTTCAAGCACAAGCCAAGCATGCTGTGCATCTCCCCACTTGAACTGTGTACCTTCAGGGTACGAGGTCCCCTGGCACAGGGGAGACCCAGCTGGGGTTCTAGGTCATACCCTGTTCCTAGTCCCTGTCCGGGTGCAGCTCTGCAGACTATGACTCCACGTTTTCTCCTCTATCTGTTTCCATTTCTTGTTTTCAGCTTTTCTCTTGGCTTCCTGAGTGGTCAGCTTCCTTCCTTACCTGGTTTCCAGGAGGGAAAGAATTGCTCTTCTAACTTTCCAGTTCTGATTCTCGTTGGCTCAGCTCTGGTCCAGTGCCCATCCTTAAACCAATCACAGTGGCTCAAGTTGGGCTGGCTGGGTAGCTCAGGCTGTGTTCCCCGTTCTCTCCTGGAGACCAGTGGTTCAGGTCTGGGAACCCAGGGCCAGAGCTCTCCATGGGAGTGTGATCTGGGTGTCCCCTCCTCTCTGGGCCTTGGGGCCTTCATCTCCAGGCGCTGTGCTTGGCAGATGGTGTGTGCTCAGCATGTTCGTATATTCTCAGATATTTAGTAAATACCTACAGGGAATGCCTCTCAGTGGCTGTGACATTTGAGCTGAGACCCGAGGACCTGGGCAGATGCATTTGGGGGGAGCTGCTGTCAGACAGACAGTACTGCAAGTGCAAAGTCCCTGAGGCGGAGACTGAGCTGAGGGAGCAGCAGAGCCAGGGAACTCTGGAGACAGGAGGAGAGCAGGGCCAGGTGGAGGTGGTCACGTGCCATTCAGAAGGCGGCCCCAACATGACTCCCGGGCCCCTGGGGCACCCTGGAAGTGAGCCCAGGAAGCCGAGTGGGGATGAAAAAGGCGAGACAGGGAGGGAAGGCGCCCTGAAGGGGGCGCCAGTGAGCAGATGATTTGCGGGGTCTCAGTCCTGTTGCCCCCCCAGCTGAGTGGCTCCACCCCAGGGGCGACCCTGTGGGCAGCCAAGCTCAGCCAGCGGAGGCTCTAGGGACAGCATTAAGTGCGTGGCCTTTGGGCTGAGCGTTGCCCTGTGAGGTGCCAAACCTCCGCAGGCCTTGGGGCCATGTGCCCGCGAGGCTCTACCAGGATGTGCCGTCCCCACGAAGCAGTGTGGGGGGACAGAGGGACGGGCCACTGAGAGGTGTGAGGCCAAGCTGCCTGCAGACAGAAGCAGTGTCCCAGGCGGTGACTGAGAACGTGGCTTGATGTCGCAGCTGTCATCATCCCGAGGCTGTCTCATGCCCTGTTGGGTTGGCTCCCAGGCTGGCGAGGTCCCCCTGTCAGCCCAGCCTCGGTTCCCCCAGGTGGTGCAGTACATCGGGGAGATCTGCCGCTACCTGCTGAAGCAGCCGGTGCGCGAGGCCGAGGGGCGGCACCGCGTGCGCCTGGCCGTGGGCAACGGGCTGCGGCCGGCCATCTGGGAGGAGTTCACGCAGCGCTTCCGCGTGCGGCAGATCGGCGAGTTCTACGGGGCCACCGAGTGCAACTGCAGCATCGCCAACATGGACGGCAAGGTGTGGGCCGCAGGGCGTCAGCCCCGGGGCGGCCCGGACCGCGGCTCCCTGGGTCAGGGCGCGGGGGTGGCATGGGGACCTGTGGGGTCCCCGATGCACACTAGAGGGGCACCGCGAGGCCTGCCTAGACCCTGCCCGGTGTGTACTGTTAGCAATGTGACCGTCACACCTAAGTGGGAGGGGTTCAAGTCACAGCGTAGCTGTGGGCCCCGAGCAAGGGCCTCAGCCTGCCTGAGCCTTGTCTCCGTGTGACGTCCGCAGGTAGAGCAGGGCCCTGGCACGTGGAGGTGCAGCTCTTCTAGGCAAGTCACTTAAGGCTCTGGGGCTTTGCTTTCCTCCTCTGTGAACTGGGCCGCCAGCTATTGACTGTGTCGTCACCGCACATCACAGCAGGAGCTGAGCGCGGAGCCCCTGGGTAGTGGCTCTGTAAGCCGGACACACGCATCCAGGGTTCGCAACCGGGATTACGCCCATTCCGCCCCGCATGCCCCGCCCCTTTGGCTCCACCTCGAGGCTGGGGATGCACGTGGTAACCCTAATAAAGCCAGGGTCCTCACTGCGCATGTCTGTTGAATGGCCAGCCCTGGAGGGCACGCTGGCGTCCGCTGGGGTTGCTGCTGTAACTCCCTTCACTGCCCAGCGACACAGTCACCTTGAACAAGCATCACTGTCCACAGCACTGAGCAGGGCAGGGCTGGGGGCACTGCCGTGGTGGTTCCTGGGTCAACGCAGGTGTCCACTTCCTGCTGGCCTGGAGGATCTTATGGACTAGGAAGTGTCCTCCAGCCAGGTCCCTGTGTGAGTCTGCAAGGCAGGACGGGAAGGTGGCATGGGCTTGGGGGCAGGATGCTGCCCTTACCACCAGGATTTTGCAGAGGTCCCAGACCTGAGATGACCTAGGGGTGCTCAAGCCCCGGGGCAGGGGAGGCGCGATGTCACTGGGGACGTTCCCCTGCGCACCCAGGCCTTGCTGACCCAGTTCACTCGCCCAGGTTGGCTCCTGTGGCTTCAGCAGCCGCATCCTGACCCGCGTGTACCCCATCCAGCTGGTGAAGGTCAACGAGGACACCATGGAGCTGCTGCGAGATGCCCAGGGCCTCTGCATCCCGTGCCAGCCCGGTGAGCAGGCCCCCGCCCCTGCCGCCCCTGGGGAGCTGGGGCCCTCCGCCACCTGCCCACCCGGCTCAGCCCGAGTTTGGCCTCCTCCCCAGGGGAGCCTGGCCTCCTGGTGGGCCAGATCAACCAGCAGGACCCACTGCGCCGCTTCGATGGCTACGTCAGCGAGAGCGCCACCAGCAAGAAGATTGCCCACAGCGTCTTCCGCAAGGGTGACAGCGCCTACCTCTCAGGTGCACAGCCTCCAGGGGCCTGGGGGCTGGCCGTGGGGATGGGGGCCGTGGTCCTATCTCTGGCCTCCACCAGGTGATGTGCTGGTGATGGACGAGCTTGGCTACATGTACTTCCGGGACCGCAGCGGGGACACCTTCCGCTGGCGAGGGGAGAATGTTTCCACCACCGAGGTAGAAGGTGTGCTGAGCCGCTTGCTGGGCCAGACAGACGTGGCCGTGTACGGAGTGGCTGTGCCAGGCAAGCTGGGGAGCGGGGTATGGTCCTGGGGTGTGGAAACCTCAGGGAGCCCGGCCAAAAGGGGCTTGAGGTTGGATGCCCTTGGGCAGTGCACAACCTAGATAACTATACCTGGCAGACCAGGTGGGAGCCCTGGATGTGGAGTCCATTCGCATGCATGATGTTGTCATCCAGAAAATGGGATCATGACAGCATCCTTCCTGAGGGGCTCAGGGGGTGGAGCAAGAGCTTTATAAAATGTTTTTTGCTTTGGCAAATGTGATCCCAGGTGGGGAGGACGGGAGGTGAGAGAGCAAAGGCTACCTGGCAGTGGTGGGGGGCTCTCAGCTGCACCTTTGTCTCTAGGAGTGGAGGGAAAAGCAGGCATGGCAGCCATCGCGGACCCCCACAGCCAGCTGAACCCCAACTCCATGTATCAGGAGCTGCAGAAAGTGCTGGCACCCTACGCCCGGCCCATCTTCCTGCGCCTCCTGCCTCAGGTGGACACCACAGGTGTGACCATCCCACCTTGCTGTCCACCACCTGTGTTGGCTCAGCAACCATTTACTCATCTTCCTAAGTCAGGCCCGCTGCTGGTGTGACGCACGGTCCACGGCCGCTGGCCCTGCTCTCCTGCCGCCTTCTCCTCTTACAGACATGGTCACCTCTCCTCTCCCCACACCCCTCCACTTGCCCTCCTGAGATGTGGGCGCGTCTTTTCATTTTCTGGGAAGTTCGAGTTACCACCTCGAACCTTTCAGGTTGCTCTCTGTAAATTGCCTGTTCACGGGTTTCACCCAGTTTTGTGTTGGCCCACGTCGTTTCCTGCCTCCCTGTCTCCCTCCGTCCGTCCATCCCTCCCTTCCCCCCTTCCTTCCTTCAGTACTGGTGGTGATCCCAGGGCCTTGCACATAGTAGGCAAGCACTCTACCACTGAGTCACATCCCCAGTGTGTTTTTTAAAATCATTTTTTAGTTGTAGTTAGATACAATACCTTTGTTTTATTTATTTTATGTGGTGCTGAGGATCGAGCCCAGGGATCACACATGCTAGGCAAGCGTTATGTCGCTGAGCCACAGCACCCACAGCACATTTTTTTTCTTTTCTTTTTCATTTTGAGACAGGGTCTCATTAAGTTGCTGAGGCTGGCCTCAAATTTGTGACCCTCCTACCTCGGCCTCCTGAGTTGCCGGGATTACAGGCATGAGCCACCATGCCTACCTTCATTTTCTTTTTGATTGGTAGGAATTTCTTGTAATGATTTAGGTGTTAGTTCTTCAGCTCTTTGTGTATGTTGTATTTTTAGTTCGCTTAACCATGATAAATAGCAAATATTTACATAATGCTTGCTATGCACCAAAGAGATGTACACATCTCTTTTCATTTACCTCTCAAACTCCTCTGGAGTAATGCTACCATCAACCCCATTTGATAAAGAAACAGACACAGAGAGGCCAAGTAATCTGCCCGAGGTCACCCAGCCAGCAAGTGGCAGAGCCAGGACTTGAATGCATATGTCTTACTCTGTTTGTGCCTTTGTTCTGAGATAGGTCTATGTATCTATCATCTATTTATCTATTTTTCTTTCTCTGTGGTTGGAACTCAGGGCCTCAGTTATGCTAGAAACGTGCTCTAAAACTGAGGTCGGGCCCCAGAAACCTGCATTGTGGTTTTTAAAGAACTGAGATTTGTCTTCCTGTGAAATGCACACTGGACTTCTGCTTCTCTGTGCCTTCCTCACGTCCTTGTGATGATACCACGAGGCTCTGACCCTGTCACCACCCCATGTGTACCACAGTCGAGTGAGGAACTATCTGCTGTGGATATTTGGCAAACCTCGCTGCCCCCGAGCAGCTGCCCAGAGTGTGCCTTCCCACCGGCCCTGGGCTTGGTGTTCTTGGTGTTTTACAGTCCAGTACAGTCATTCCCCAGTGTCCACCGGGGATGGTTCCGGAATCCCTGTGGATACCAATATTTGGAGACTCTCACGTCCCTTCTATGAAAGGGTGTGGTATTTGCACAGAACCTGCAGTGTCCTCCCATAGACTGTCAGTCCCGTCTAGATGACTTAGAACGCCCAATACAAGGGAAGTCCTGTGCGCAGAGTTGATACTGTGTTGTTAGGGAATGTTGACGAGAACAAAGTCTGTCCATGTTTAGTGCAGGTGCAGTTTTTCTTACAGTCTCCTTGCAACTATTCAACTGCCATTATAGGGCCAAAGCAGCCATGGAGGATGCATGAATGAGTGGTCAGGGATTGTGCCAATAAAACTTTATTGACAAACCAGTGGCGGGCCACATTTGGCCCACAGGGCGGGGCTGCTGGCCTCCAGTCCTCTGTGTGACAGACACAGCCCTGCCTCGGGGTGGGGGCTGAGCACGGGGCCAGGGCGATGAGGTGATCAGGGAGCCCTTCCTGGAGGAGGGGGCTGAGCCACCAGAGGCAGCCACAGTTGGGGAAAGGGCGGGAGGTACCCGCAACCGGGCCCTGGGAGCGCCTTTCCCAGACTCCGGTCCCCTCCACAGGCACCTTCAAGATCCAGAAGACCAGGCTGCAGCGCGAGGGCTTCGACCCCCGCCAGACCTCTGACCGGCTCTTCTTCCTGGACCTGAAGCAAGGCCACTACCTGCCCCTGGACGAGGGCGTCTACACCCGCATCTGCTCGGGCGCCTTTGCCCTCTGAGGTCCCTCCCTGCCAGCTGAGACCCCGGCTGAGTCTGGTGGGCCCTGTCCCGGGCTGCCCCTCCTGCCCAGCCACCTAGCCACATGCCGGCCGTCTGCGGGGTGCGAGGGACCCAGCCTCGGAGTCCTCCTACTCCGCGCCCCTGCCCCTGGGCACCGTCTCCGCCCTTCCCGGGAGCTCCGTGTGCCCAGGGCCCAGCTGCCCTCCAGGTCTCATCCCTGTCTCTGGCCCTGGACCCGGAGCAGGCGTCCCCGTCCTTGTGCCTTACGGAACCGCCCGGGCCTCCCCCTGCGCTGGTTCCAGATGTTTAGGGCCGTGAACTCCAAGAGGCCCCGCCCTCCCCGGAACGAGGAGCCCACCCAGGTGCCTGGCCCCGGTCCGCGGAGTCTCCTGTCTGGGCTGGCTGCCTTTTGCACTTTGCCATCCCTGGCCCTCCCGGTTCCCCCATTCCCCTTCTGATGCCCTGGAAGCTTCCAGACTGAACTGTGACCACTTGGATGTCGCCCCTGTCCACCTCTGTCTAGATGTCTCTGTTCAGGTGTCTCCTCAGAGCGCCCGCTGAGGGGCCCTGAAGACTGTCCGGGCTACCCAGCCCCCTGCTTCCTGTCCCTGGCAAAGGCCGAGGGTGTCCCCACTTTTGTGACTGCTGGAAGGACCTGTGAGAGCAGCAGCAGTGGTGTCGGGAAGATCTCCTGCCAGGGGGTGTCTCCTGAGGGCCTCAGGGGGGTTCCAGCCTGTTAGACACTCCCAGCAGCCACTCCTGAGGGTCCCCAGGGGTTCTGCTAGTGACGGTCAAACCTTGGGTTGGTGGTGACATCTGTGCAGTCCCCTTGGGGCAGCTCCGTTGCTGCCTTCCTCTCACTGGTGGCTCATCTTGGAACCAAGTGCCAGCCAGTTGCAGCGGCCACCCAGATGCACATTACCCTCCGGCAGCAGCACCGTCCAGCCCTGAGCGGGGCGGGGGCAGTGGAGAGTGTCCCCACCTGCCTCGCAGCAGCCCCACACAGGGCTTTTGTTCCCTAATGGATTTTAAGAAATAAACCTGCAGAGCATCTGGCGCCTGCCTGCCGGAAGCCCAGTCGCTCCTTGTCCTTCACTCCCATGGTGCAGAAGCCGGGTGGACCCTGCAGTCGGGTCAGAGGAAGGGGCTTCTCGTGGTCAGGACAGAAGGCGCTGTGCCTGGCTCATCTCCAGCTAGGATCAAAGACACCAGGCCCGGCCCTGGAGTGCTGGAGCCAGGCTGTTGTGAAGCTCCACATCGCACTTCAGCAGCTCTGTGTACAGTTTGCTGAGAAACTGGTGAAAAAAGACCAGGTTACTGAGGGACAGTCATGGCAATTATGGCTCAAGATGGCTGTGGTAAGGTCAAGCTGGATACCTACCAAAAAAAAAAAAAAAAAAAAAAAGTCAGCTTTTTGTTATTACAGTGAAGTACCTGAGGCAGGCCACGTTATAAAGAAAAGAGGTTCAGTTGGCTCACAGTTTTGGAGGCTGAAGGTCCAAACATCACAGTGCAGTCCCAAGTGAGGTCTCTCTTGGCTGCATCCATCATGGCAGGAGCCTGTCTGTCTGTCTGTCTCCCCTTCTTATTAAGCCATCAGGACTCAACACGGGGCTCCACCCTGATGGATCTAATGATTTCCCAAAGACCCCGTCTCTCAACTCCAGGAATGAGGTGCAGGGAGGGAAATGCAGTCCTTGCCAAGAGCACCTGGCAAGAAGGTGTCCCAGTATCCCTTTTTCCTGTCCCAAAGCCTGTGACTGTAGATGTGCTTGTGTTCAGGAGGTCCCTCCGGGGGTGAGACGGTACCCTGAGGACTTTAGGATCAAGCTGTGGGGTTTCGTGTGTGTTGGGGTTGGAACCCGGGGCTCGCACGTGCGAGGTGGTGCCCTACCATGAACTCCGGCTCCAGCCCTATTATTTTTTTATTTTGAGACAGGGTCTTCTAAGCTGGCCTCAGACTGGGTCCTTCTGCCCCAGTCTCCTGAGCAGCTGGGATTACCGACAAGGGCACAGTCTCCAGCTAAAATTGTTAATAATTTTGTGCGTGAAACCCAGTTCCATGGTGTGCAGTTTCCCCCGTGGCATAGTTTGCTCTAGGAGTTTGCTCTGGGGGTGGAAGGTAGCTCCGCAGCGAAGCAGGTCCTGGTACACCGAGGCCCTGGCTTGCACCCCCCCACCAGAAAAGAAAAAAATACATAAAAAATTTTTTTTGGAGCATTTCAGATTTCATGTTTTGGATTAGGGATGCTCAACCTATATCACACAAAACAGTTCCACTGTCCTAAAAGACCCTGTGCTCAGCTCCTCACCCGTCCCTGTCACCTGGCAGGCGCTGCTCTTGCTTTCCCACGGTGGCACCAGCAGTCACCTGTCTTCTCGGTTTTGCTTTCGCCTGGCAAAATGCCTGTCGGTCTCCACTGCGTCTCCTCGTGGCGTGGTGCTCCAGTTTTGACTTGATTTTGGTGGAGCCGGGCTGGAACCCAGGACCTCCTGCATGCCCAGCACCCACTCACCACTGGGCTACACCCAGCCCTGGAGAGTTCTGGAAGTTTTTTTTTTTGGTACCAGGGATTGAACTCAGGGGCACTCGACCTCGGAGCCACATCCCAGCCCTTTTAATATTTTCTTTAGAGACAGGGTCTCACTAAGTTGCTTAGCGCCTTGCTGTTGCTGAGGCTGGCTTTGAACCCACGTTCCTCCTGCCTCAGCCTCCCCTGCTGCTGGGATGGCAGGCGTGGACCACCGCGCCCGGCCAGTTCTGGAGTTTTTCATCTGCCCAATGGGAAGCTCCATGATGCCCCAGTGCCCCTCAACATGGAGAAGACAGCCAGGATCAGAAGGACTCGGCCCAGGCCCCTTCTTTATGGGAGGCCTTGGGATGATCTGCACAGAGGGACATTTGTACCTGTGATGCGGGAGCCTGGCATAGGCAGGTGGCCCTGAGAGCCGGGACCGAGCAGCACGTGGCTGAGGAATGCTGGAGGGGATGCCAGGAGGAGGGTGCAGGGCACTGAGGCCCGTGGGGGAGAGCCGGGGCCCTGGCCTGCTCCCCCCAAGGGCCCTGGTCCCTTTTGGGGGGATCCAGGTGCACCGGGTGCCCCTCAGACTCCTTCCACCGCGCAGTGGCTTCCAGCCAGCACCCGGGTTTTGCATCTTGGCTCCTGCTGTCTTCCATGTGTGGGACACCATTTCTCTCCACCCCCGCACTCCGCCCGGTCACCTCTGTATTTCTTCAATTGAAATATTCACATCCATAATATTCATCTTCTTAAAATGAATAATTTAATGGCTTTTAGTATATTCAAGAGGTTGTGCAACTATCACTACTATTTTGTTTGTTTATGGAGCTGGGGATTGAACCCAGGGCCTTGTGCAGGTGAGGCAAGCACTCTACCAGCTGAGCACTATCCCCAGTCCCAGTCACTACTATTTAATTGCAGAAAAGTTTCTCCAACTCATGGAAACCCCGCCCCTATGGGCAGTCACCCCCAGCCCACCCCCACCGGACCCTGGCAACCATTCATCTGTTTTCTGCTTCTATGGATCTCCTTGCTCTGGACATTTCTTATCAATGGGATCACACACTGTGTGGCCTTTTGTCTGGATTTTGTTATTCGGCATCAAGTTTTCAAGGCTCATCCACATCCAAGCCTGTGGCAGGGCTTCCTTCTTTTTACAGCTAAGTAATGTTCCACTGTGTGGGTGGATCATACTCTGTGGACCCAGTCATCTGTGGATGGACAGTGTGGTTTACATTTTTGACTGTTATAAGTAATGCTGTTGTGCCAGATATGGTGGTGCACACCTGCAATCCCAACTCAGGAGGCTGAGGCAGGAGGATCACAAATTTGAGGCCAGCCTCAGCAGCTTAGTGAGAGCCTGTCTCAAAAAATAAATAGGGCTGGGGATGTGGCTCAGTAGTAAAGCACTCAGTTCTCAGTTCCAAAAGTAATTACATAGTGCTATTGTGAACATTCTCTTGGGTGTACATCTCGGTGTGGAAATGCCAGATCACACATTCACACTTAACCCTTTCAGGAAGTGCCAGTCTGTTTTCAAAGTGGCTGCACCACTTGACCTTCCACCTGCAATGCTGGGGTCCACCTGTTTTTTTTTTTTCTTTCATCCTCACCAGCACTTGTCATCTGCCTTTTCGATCATAGCCATCCTGATGTCTTGATGTGCATTTCCACGGTGGCTCAAGAACTGGCCCTCTTCTCACGAGCCATTGGTCCTTTGCCTATATTCTTTGGAGGAATATCTTAGATACTTCTTGGCCTTCGCCTTTTGAAAAATTTCAAGATTTCCTTCCACTTGGTGGGTTTTCTTTTCCCCTTCTTGAGAGTGTCCTTGTAAGACAAAGTCTTGACGGAGTCTGGTTTCTCGTTTTTTGTTGCTTGTACCTTCAGCGCCCACCAAGGCAAAGTCAAGTCATCAAGACAGTGTGGCTTGGTGTAAGGACATACAGACCAGTGAATAAAACCAAGAGTGCCCAAATAAACCCCCCACACACACACCTGTGGTCGTCTGGTCTTCAGTGTGGGCACAAGAACTAGTCATTGGGAAAAGAATAGTCTTTCAACCAGTGATCTAGCTCAAGGTCCTGAGGATTTACGCCTTTGTGTTCTTCCAAGTTTCTTGGCTTTAGCGTTTACATTTAGGTCTTTGTGGGAGGCTGTTGTGCTGTGTGACCAGCATTTTCCTTCCCTGATTGCTTGGGGCTCTGTGGGTCACTTCCCATGATCTGACCACATCAAAGTGGCCCTAGATGACTGCCCCGATCCTTGAAGTAGTAGAATGTGTCTTCGTGCATGGGCGTGCCTTCCTGCAATCCCATTTGTGATACTACCCCTTTGCCCGGTTTGGGATAGAATGTTCCATGGAAACGCCCTTTGTGTGTCCCCTTCTCTTGCTCTGCCTTTGGGTGTGGCCTTCCTAGGTGTCAGTCAACCTGCTGACAGCAGACATCACGAAGCTAGGCTCAACCCCCTGAAACCTGGCCCCTTGCCTCATCTGAATGGCTTCTCCTCAACAAAAGGGGTCAGCATGTGCTCGCTCTCTTTCTGTGGACCCTTAAGGTCAGAGGAGCTGTCACAGGACCCCAAAGAAAAAGGTATTTCTCTTGTGTGCTTATTTCATGCAGCCCAGTTCCCCTGGAGTGACCCTGAGTGTTTTTGTCGCTGGTCTTGAATACATTTTCAGTTAATTTTTGTATGCAGTGTGAGGTGGGGATCTGTATCAGTTTTCTAGCTGCTGTAACAAAATTACCACAAACACAGGGGCTTAAAATAACACATACCTTACAGGCCTAAACACTGGACGTCAGAAATGGATTTCACTAAATCCAGGGTGTCTGCAGGCTGTATGTTTAGAGGCTCTGGTTGCGAATCTATTTCCTCGCCTTTTCCAGCTTTGGGACCACCTGCAACTCTTGGCTCTGGGCCTCCTTGTCCACCTCGCAACAGAGGGCTGAGTCTTCCTGACAACATCACCCCTCTGGGTATCCCTCTTCTGCTTTGCTCTTCTATTTATAAGGACTTTTTTGATTACCTTGGGCCATCCAGAAAACCTATTTAAGGACAACTGGGTATCAACCTAATTTCATCTGCCATCACAGTCCCCCCTTGTAAACTATCCTCATACCTTTAGGCATTCAGAGTGTTAGGGGTGGCCATCTTGTGGGGGGCATTATTCTACGTAGCAGAGTCCAGCTTCCTTCTTCTCTAGGTGGCTATCCCATTGTTCCAGCACCATTTATTGAAAAGACTTTTTGTTTTTTCCCAGTAAATGCTGATTCAGCAAGCAATTTACTTCTGAGCCACACCCTCAGCCCTGAAGAGACCTTTTTCCCCATTGAAGAGACCTGGCCCCTTGTTAAAGACTGACCACAACATATGGGTTTATTTTTGCATCTCAGTTCTGTTGCCTGAGGCCTGACTCTGGGGATCCAACCAAGCAGCTCTGGCCTCTAGCCCCAAACACCAAACAGAAAAGATAATGGAGAAAGGCATGAAATGAACTGATTAGAATCATGTCCTTAGCCATGTCTTCAAGGGACTGACAATGACTTTGAG